TCAACTTCTGTCCAGTCAGTCTTCTTTATTCTGCTAGCAAGGAAGGTAATGATTCTTACCGTTTGTGTTGGAACAGGGATCAGGAGACTCCTCAAAGCGGTAAAGAGCATGAGGCTTGGAGTCCTAATTCTGCCACTCTCTAGCTATGTGACTTAGACAGAATGCCACTTGCTCACCCCACAACTCAGTTTCCCTATCTGTAAAATGGGGATACTAACAGTGCCTATCATCACAGGGTTGATGCGAAGGTGATGCATTTTAGGAACAATAACAATGCCCTGTCATATTTACTGAGACCCAGAAACTGGGTTCCAGAGAGGTTAGTTAGCCAGTTATAGAGCAAGCGTCTGAGCCTGGATTTGAACCCAAGCAATTAAATTCTAGAGCTCCTGTCTTCACTACTGCCTCCCCATTGATGTAAGGACCCCGCATAGCACCAAGCTCATGGGAGCTGCTATTTTTATTACTGTAACTGATTTTTACAGGCTCTGGAAATGGAAGGACATTTTAGAGGTTTAAATGCTCTAGAGAGGTAGGAAGGAGGCGGGAAAGTTCTTTAAAGTCTTTGCTCCCCCCTGCCCCCCATTAACTACACTTAGGGCAGCCACACCAGGTCCTTTCCCGTGGGAAATAGCTGCATTTTGTAGCACAGCTGTAAGTTGTGAATTATACCTTCCCATCTGAAGCTGGGGGACAATATACGCTCATTCTGACCCAGCACTTAATTGTAAATTGTCGTCACTCCCTTTTTCGTATAAGCAGAAGTGCCCTAATCACATGATTATTCGGTAACTTCCACCTTTCAGGATCTTAAGAGAAATGAAAAAGAAAAACAAAACAAAACAAAAACCAACCCAGTCCTGCTTTTACAAACTCATTTGCGGCTAGCTCAGTGATAAAGCCTTCCCTCCTCGCCCGTGTCAGCTTTCAGGAATTCTCTGCGTTGTCTGCGTTGTGTAACCCAAGCAGCTTGTTATCTTTGCAGCTTAAAGGCTGACTTGGAAATTCAGACTGTCAACTATTTAAAGAGAATGAAAGTCCCCACTCTACTATTTTAATTAACTTCCCGAGAGCAAGGTTTCCTACTGGTTATGATAATGTTCACTTAAAATACTCTTAAGGAAACATGGCAGGAAGCTAAGTAAGAAGGGGGAGGATTGCTGTTTTTCAAAGCATTCCAGGAAGAAGAGTTTGGGCACAGCCATGAAGGGAAAATACTACAGAGTACCTGGAGAACCGAGAAGAGAGGCACGAACAGATATTAAGGAGTAGAAACAGTGGAGTATGGGAAATTAAAGTACATAATACAGATTAAGTAGAGCCTTGATGCCAGATGAGGGTGTGCAGGGTAGGCGTTTGTGCAATGAGAAACCATAAAGAGATTCTTGGTAGTGAACACCAATCACATTTATGTCTCAGGAAGATAACTGCGGTTCTGTGCAGGTGGCTGTGAGGAATGGCACCAGAAAAGATCTGGAAGCTCACTGGCTATGTGACATTGTTTCCCTGGGCCTGATTTTCCATCTGTTAATTTGTTCAACAGCAGTGATAATGGTGGGGATTGAGTGAAATCACGCATGGACTTTGAAAATAATGTCGTCGAAAGCACTCACACAAACTATACACACACAGCGCCGTGTTCGGGTTGTGTGGAGGGGAATGAGGGCTGAGAAAGCAAGCCTTCTGATGAAGGAGAGAGCTGACTAGACAGATGGAGGAGATGGGTGGGAGGGTGAAAGGGAAATCCTTGGAGGTAATTCAAGAGGAAAAGCTGATGTCATACAAGGGGAGTCCGGGAAGAGGAGTTGCTCTGGGGGCTGGGGTGCTGCTGGGTTCAGCTTTGGAAATGCTACATTTGAGAAAGAGGGAGATATTCATAAGGAGTGGGTGGACCAGAGCAGCCTTAAGAAGTAGGTGTTAATCATTGTTTTAATTGAGAAAGCCACATTGCCCAGGTCTTGGAAAGTATTCAGGGACATTTTTTGAGGCTTAAACCTCAGTGAGCCAACTCAGTGAAGTTCTAAAAGCCAACAGCTGCAGCCACCGGCCTGTAAGTCAACAGAAGATTGGGATTCAGAACGGCCACTGAGGTAATTCTTGATAGAAAACCAAGTTCCCAGGAAGGAGATGCCCTAGCCTATGGTTCTCGGCATCCTCAGTGCCTCAACTGGGGCTGACACATTTTAGGCATTCTGTGGGTGTTATTGGATAAAGCTATGAACTTTGTATAATTTTAACGTAGTGGTATCAAGAATGTGTAAACTCCATTTCAGGACTTTGTATTTTGCCTCTTTAAGGAACTTCCCTCTGCTTGTTTCCACCTGAGAAACATCACATAAGAAAACAATCACAGATTGCCACAATCCCAAATACACCATGGTGTTCATCACGGCATCATTTATAGATCAGCAAAAAATGAGAAACAATTCATATTTGAAACAACAGGGAGGTGGTAAGTCATTCCATTAATATGATGAAATAAGAAAGTGGAGACTAGGAACTGTTCTACGTGCTTTGCAAATATTAATTCATTTAATGCTCATAGCAATGCTATGGGGTGTATACCATTAAGATAAGTTCCATTCTACAGATGAGGAAGTTGAGGGCTTGGACAGTTTAAATAACCTGCTCAAGATTATACAGGTAATAAGTAGCAGACCTGGGATCTGAGCAAGGCTGTCTGGTTCGCGTGTCTTTGCTCTAACCATTATACTACATTGCCTCACGGTATCTTATTTTTCTTAAACTAGTTTTGTAACAAATTTTGGGGGGAAAATATATTTTCCCCATTCACAGGAGGAAGCAATCACATCACAGGGAGGGGGTGGGTGGTAGCAAGGAATCAAAATTCTGCCTCAGTGAGTCAACTCAGTGAAGGGTTCACAGTGACAAGAGTTCACAGTTCCTTATTCTTTCCTTCACCCCCATCAGTGAAAACTAATGCTTGCTGGCAAAACAACTGATAACTTACAGAGTCGTTCCCCGTCATTCATCTCCTCAAAACCACCCTGCCAAGTCACGATTTTCATGAATCCCAATTTACAGATGAGCAAGCTGAGGCCCAGAAGGGACAAACGGCTCACTTAGGGTCACCTTGCTAGTTTCTTGACACCCAGGCTCATGTTCCTTCTACAACTCAGTGAGGTTTAGACAATTTCAAAACAGTGTCCTCCATCTAATCAGCCTAGTAATCACTCAGGAAACCACCAGGCACAAGGCAAAGTTAAAGAAGAGGATTGGTTTGGGCTTGGCCAGACTAACTCAACAACCTTGAAGTCTTAGACAACCTCTGGACTACCCGAGGGCTGTCTCTTACGAGCCTTCAGTCATAGGCAAGAGATCTTCCCCAAGGAAGGTTTGTGGTATCAACCTTTCTCTTCTGTTCTTCCCCTTAATACACTATTCACCTTCTTCAGACCCACCTTAGTCCCAGTGGTCTCTTCAGAGGTTACCAAGAGACAGGGCAGGATGATGATAATGAGGAGGGCAATAATGATACTAGAATAATTGATAATAATAGTCAAAGTGTTCAGAGAGCTTGCCATGTGCCAGAAACTGCCCTGGGCAATGTTTGCAACATTTGATCTCCCACTCTACACCCATTAATCTAGGGGGTAGGTGCCATTTTCCTGATGAGGATATGAGGCTTAGAGAGTGTCCATTACATGGCTGGTGGAGAGGAAATGGGGAAGGAAGGGTTAGCAGTTCACAGACTGCAGAGGGTGCGCTTTCGGCCCTAAAGCCCTCATTTATAAATCGACTTCAGACTCACCCCCCCACATGATGACATTCCTCGCATATCTGATCTTCCTAGGAAATATGGCTCCTCTAAGAAATCCAAGAGCGGAGAACACAGCAGCATGATGTCAAGGATCTAGAAACTCATTTACCCTCCTCTTATCCCCACATTTTCTTTTAATTAAAAAATAATGGTGTTCATAGGTTTTCCTGATATATTTACATATATCAGGAAAATATATTTTTAAATATACTTTTCCTTTCCCTCAAAGCCTATTTCCTAACTTAAACACAAATTTTTAAAAAGTAACACAGCACAAAACAAAGCTAATGAATGTGGTGAGCGGATCGTGGTGTGTTACGTGGACTCCTCAGTCATTTTACCAAACTGGATGGGCAGGTGAGAGGATCTGGAGTTTCTGAGGTGAAGTAGTATGCCCTGACTGGACGTCTTCAGGCATGGAAGGCATTATTCGGTTATCAGTCTGTTAAGGGGCATACTATTCAAAACCTTGGCTGGGAATGAGTACTAGGTCGTCTGTAAATAATCTACGGATAAAGTTTACTAGGAGTGGAACATTAACATGGTAGAGGTGAGGCTTTCGATGGGTCACTGGCCTGTGGGCTGCTTCTAATTGGAGGCCTTGCCTCCACCTTTAACCATTTTGATTTCTCCGACTCCCAACTACTGCATTAAAAGGGGCAGAAAGGAGCAGGTAGGGCATGAACATAAACACTCTGATGAGGTGGCCAGTTAGGCAGTTAGAACAAGTAAGTGTCCCAGGGGCAACAATACCACTGGTAGGTCAAGTGTCTGAAGGGGGAGGCCCCTGCAAGGCAGCTGCAAAAAGCAAGCCCCCATTAATCCCTTAACTAAGCAGCTGATGGAGTTTATCTTTTTGTGCATATGTTATAACTCCTCCAACACAGGATTATTTATAAATTTTAAAAAAGTCAGCACGGCTACCAAAGCTTTTTAGGGATTTCTTCATCTTGCTAGCAGAAAACAGAAAATAGAACTCTGGAGGACTTCTGTTTACAATTCACTGTCACTCTGGCTTGAAAAATTCTAAGAAAGCTTCCTTGCTGGATTCATTCACAAAAAGAATGGGTCCCTATTTGAAGAGGGAAGAGATCTCAGTCTCCCGCCTTGAGATCTACTTTCTTTTGAGTTTGCATCCATTGTTATTCAAAGTAACGGCATTCAGCTAGGGTTCTGCTAGGGTTATTTTGCATAGTAATATCAGAAAAGGAACCATTACCTGGTATAATCCCCTTTGGCTTCCTGAAATAAAAAACAAAGATAGATGATCAATATGTATTTATGTTAACTAAGCAAATGAATTTCACTCTTGGTCACGTTTCCCTCTTAAAGTGCCTGAGTTTTGTTTTGAAGAGTGTCCACGAGGAACACTTTCTCTAGGGCCACGGAGAAGAATGTGGCATTGGTGAGAACACATTAGTATCCATGAAATACTTCGTATTCTTTTTTTTTTAATTATTCTTAACAGAAGAGACAAATACATCTGAAAAAGCACAGATGATTATGTCTTCTTTTAGGTCTCTAAGAGCATGTGATAAATGCTTGTCTATTCGAGCAGCACTTTCTAGTCTGGACACAGACCTTTTAAGCCGGACATAGGTAAATCAACGCGTGCTACTTGTTTTCTCTTTTTAAACCAGCACAGAACACGCTTGGTTTTTCAGCTACTAGCGTCTTTAAGCATTAAGGGGCTCTTGCCCTCGACCTCAAGAAAAAGGAATACAAAAGTTACTTAATTTAAATGAAAATTACAGCTCTTGTAACAGTTGCTGCTTCCCAAATTCAACTGTTGCAGAACTCCTTTCCAGAAGTACGGTCTAAATTCTCTTCCCCCAGAGCAGTCTAAATTTCATTTTCCTTTGCGACATACAATACCACCCTAAAGCTCATGCAAATTACGCTAAAACAGAAAAACGGTGGCTCGCTCACGTTTTTCACTGGCGAACAACCAGCTGGCTTAAAAAATCTATCAGCCACCGGCCCACGCGAGAAAGTTTCAGAGTTGCAGGCGGTTCACAAAAACCAACAAACAAAAAGGCGCAGGCAAGAGGCAGTTGGTCGCTTCTTACCTGTAACACAAGCGCTGCTAACTTGAAGATGGTTTCGCTGTCCGCTTCGATTTGCCCCTGTCGGGGGGGAAAAGCAAAGCGTCACTGGACACAGGCTGCCCCAGGTTGTAGCAAATGGCTGTGGAGTCGGGGAAGCTGTCACGGCTTGGCACCTCCAGTTTACAATCAAACGCAGATCATACCATTGCAGGGGAAAGGGAGGGGGGCGTGGAGGGGCGCATCCAGGGTTCAGGGGAAGCCACAATGTGTGTGTGTGTGTGTGTGTGTGCGCGCACACTTTAATTAGCTGTGGGGAATTTTGTTTAGAGAGCAGTATTCTGGAAGAAACACAAATGACTCTGGAGGCTGAAAATTCAGAGAACTTCCCAATGAATAATTTTTACCCCTACAGGTTCATTTTTAAGCTCTGAAGATTTTCTTAGATTTGTTCGTTCTGTGTTTTCCTGATTTTTTCCCCCCCTGGGTCACCACATGGTTTTTTTTTTTTTGTATACACACAATGCAACTGTTATTAAAAATGTAAATTCACTTCGACATCAGTGACACATTGTTGAATTAATATTTATACAGTTAGAGACAAAATGTAAAGCCTTAAGAATCAGTTACAGCAAATACTTAGAGAAGACCAAAATTCTGTTCCAAGCCTTAAGAATCAGTTACAGCAAATACTTAGAGAAGACCAAAATTCTGTTCCATTTGACTGAAATCTGATGAACTCTGATTTATCATTTTACCCATTATTTTATTTTTTTCATCCTTTAAGATCTCCCCCCACCCCCAAAAATAAGAATTCTGGGCCTTGGAAAACAGGAATGCTTTTTCAGTGCCTTGGTAGGGATGTGTAAGTGTGTGTGGAGGGAATATTGCCTCTAGCAATGGTATTCACATATGCCTTCATTTATTTTGTTAAATATGATCATATACGTTAATATCATTACTGCATCATATAATGTAGTACCACAATGAATGGTATAGCGGGATCTTCATTTTAAAAAAATTTGCAGGGCGCCTGGGTGGCTCAGTTGGTTAAGCGACTGCCTTCGGCTCAGGTCATGATCCTGGAGTCCCGGGATCGAGTCCCGCATTGGGCTCCCTGCTCGGCGGGGAGCCTGCTTCTGCCTCTGACCCTCCCCCCTCTCATGTGCTCTCTCTCTCTCATTCTCTCTGTCTCAAATAAATAAATAAAATCTTAAAAAAAAAAATTTGCAGAAAAAATTTGTTGGGTGATACGCTACCTTGTAAGCATTAATGCACACTAAAACAATTCCATATAACCTTGCTTACGTGTTGTATAATTAGTACTTGAAAGTGCAGAGTCTTTGAGACTATCGAACTCATGAGCCTAGAAATTGCCCTGAATTCTTTATTTCTGCCTTTTACCTGTTGAATTTGGGCTGAAGAGCTTTTCTAGTTGTACCAGGACATCAATGGTGAGTAATTAAGTAGTTTTAAAGTAAAGGCGAACTAGGTAGGTTCACAGAAGCAGTGAGCTCGCTGAAGATTTCTGAAAGGATTATGCTTTTCTCTCACATTTCCAGGTGATTTGGATTTGGGGTTCTCAAAAATAAAACAAACTAATAACAATAATTCTTCTAAAAGCCACAAAAATAAAATAAACCAAAAATCCAGGGCATTACAACGCCAGCTGTGATAATTATGTTTCCCTTATGTCACAAAATGAAAACAAATGAATTTCATCCTGCGACATCTAAGTTTCCCTTCCAAAACCTGAGGCAACGGATCTGCTCCAAACTTTTTTGCTCTAAAAGCTGACAGGCCCAGAGCCTTGGAATTCAAAGCTTGCTTCTAATCTCTAGAAACAGATTATAAAATCAAAGAGAAGCCAGGTTGATTGCCCTCTGTCTTTCAGGCAAGAGACAGTGGTTTTCTAATCTGGTGAAAGATGATGAAACATTTAATCCAACAGGTGAGATGGGTGTTGATCAAGACAAAGTTTTACAACGGTTATATTCCTTATGCTCAAAGGAAAACAACAACAACAACTCAGGCAGAGGGAGGGGGTCACAGGGGGAGGAACACTCAAAAACATCTTTGAGTTCGAAATTGCACCCAAAATTAAAGTCCAGTTTGTCTTAAAATCTTACAAAAGAGAAAAAAAATGGGTTGTTTCGGATATTAGCAGAACAAAAGCTAAATAAAATATATTGAAAATGACTGCCAACTCTTCTGACCCCCCATGACCCTCTTTGCCTCAGCAGAACCTTAGGTGAGTCATCCAAACAATATTTGAGACACCAACTTTTCAATTCAGTAAATGGAAGTTCAGCAGATAAAAAGGCCTCAGACAGAAACCCTTAAGGATGCTGCCAAATAATTCTCTACCTTAGAAGGGTCATTAAATATTAAAAATGCCGAAATGAGAGCTGAAGCATGAAAAGTACCAGGCTCAGACAGCTCCAGAAGAGTGGGGAGGCAAATATGCAACTCACCTGTGGGTTGTTTTTTTTTTTTTTTTCCACCTATGCAAGTTGCCACAACACAATTCTGGTGGAGGAGGGTGATGGTGGGCTGGAGGGGTGGGGCCTACCGAACTCTGGTTCCAGGGAGACAGGAGAAGCCATGGTTTGGCCAAGCCTTACATTCTTTTATATACCTCAGCCCCTACCTCACCTTCCTCCTATCCACTGTTTTGGAAATCCAAGGCAACGTATTTTGAATTCTAATACTGATTGCCAAGGTTACCTGACTTGTGCAGGGAGCTCACAAAACTGGATCAAGCAAAAATAATACTATTTGCCTCGTTCTCAGCCATTTCACATGGTGAAATTCAATTAAGACATATACAGAATTCCGGAATTTCATGCCTGAAGTACAAAAGTTCTTTAGAAATTGATGTCTGTCCTAGGATAGAAGATTTCTTTTACTTATAACCATGGCAACGCAGGTAACCTTATAGGGACTGGGCAAGCTAACACTTGAGAGAGGGATCTCCTCAGAGAGAGGTAATGGGATCCTTCGTAGGTTTCCATGACTGTCAGGGATAAACAAAGAGGAGCAGAGAAGTGAGTCAGATGATGTGGCTGAATACACAAGGGTAATATGAACCCGTATCAGGTCTTGGTGCTCTACCCTCATGGCTAATTTAGCTGCTTTACAGATTCAGTCCCTAGGTCACTAGGTTCAGTCTCCGCATCGGACGTCGTATTTTTGTCCTTGGCTTGTTAGCTCAGTTGACCAAAACATCTTGCTAATGAGGTAAACCCTAGGTTTTGATTCACAAGTAGAAGAGAATAAAAGAAAGTTTTAGAATCTGAAAGGGAATTTAGTGAAAAAATTACTCATATTATTTTAGAGATGATGGCACTGAGCATCAGGGACATGACGTGTATTACCCAACCCCACAGCCGACCATGACTCTGGGCTTCTTGTCTAGTGCTCTTTCCATTCTGCCATGCACTAGTTAATTTTCTGACTCCGGTGTCAATCTGTCACCAGGAATCTTCCAAAGGCATGTTTTTGATAAAAACTGGAATCAGAGAAGACTGAAAAATGATTCCAAATGCTCCCTTTCCTGTTGATGGGATGGTAAGTTATCATCAAATATAAAAACTTAGAATGGGAAAATTATTTCTGAAGACCCATCTGCTTTTTCTGTATTGATGCAGTACTTCACGGAAACTTATTCTGCACAACCATGGACATGAATCACTTGCTCACAAATACTTAAGATTTGGAACTACTTGACAAACTGCTGGGGGAAGTCAGTTTGTTTCCAAGTGTATCACTAATTATCTAGCTGTTCTAGGGTTAAGTCTATTAAAAGAGGTAGCTTGTAGAACACCAACAAATAAATGTATAGGGCGCCTGGGTGGCTTAGTTGGTTAAGCGACTGCCTTCGGCTCAGGTCATGATCCTGGAGTCCCTGGGTCGAGTCCCGCATCGGGCTCCCTGCTCAGCAGGGAGTCTGCTTCTCCCTCTGACCCTCCTCCCTCTCATGTTCTCTGTCTCTCATTCTCTCTCTCACAAATAAATAAATAAAATCTAAAAAAAAAAAAAACACAACAAAAAAAACCAAATAAATGTATAAGAAATGAGAGGAAAACAAAATTATCATTTACAGTCATCATAGTACTAGTTATCCAGGCAATAGTTTTCAATAAATAAAAACTATTGCATAAAAGTTTGGTGAGAAACAGGACGGGATATTTATATAATCACAAAGTATCTCTCTATGGGGAAATTTAATGATAAGGGGGAAAATGCTAGCTTTTCAATGGAGAAATCTGACAGTACAATCTTTTTTTTTTTTTTTAAGAGTTATTTATTTTAGAAAGAGAGAGAAAGAGAGAGCCCATGTGCAGGGGAGAGGGGCAGAGGGAGAATGAAACCCAAGCAGACTCTGTGCCGAGCCCAGTGCAGGGCTCAGTCCCATGACCCTGAGATCATGACCTGAGCCAAAACCAAGAGCCGGTTACTCAACCAACTGCCCCACCCAGGTGCTCCAGACAGATACATTCTTAATCAAGTGATCAGATATCACCAATAACTGGACAGACTGGCATCGTGTGCCTCCTGATAGTATTTATTGAGAAGGACACAACTTCACTTATATACATGGCTGTGTTGGTAAATGTATATGTTTCCCAACCAGAACTTGGAGGAGGGGGGGTGATCCCTCATTTGTAGCATCTGTTGATATCCATGGTGCAAATACTCCCACCATAGCTGATTTCAAACTACCAATATGACCTCACAGAACACGTTGCTGGGATGTGATGTGAGAATTGGCTCTCACCACTGGTACCAGCTGGTTCCAGTACACCACTGGGTAGTATCTCTGCCAAAAAATACACCACTAGATCTAATCGTGAGGCAGCCTGAGACAAACCCAGATGGAGGGTCATTCTATTAAAATATCTGGCCCATACTCTTCAAAAATATCAATAGGATGAATGCCGAAGAAAGGTTGAAGAACCGTGTCGAAGAAAAGGAGACTAAGCAGTCACAACAACTAAATGCAGTCTGTCATCCTGTATCAAGAGAAGTTGTTACAAAGGGCATTATTGGTACAACTGAACGGTACCTTATGCAACCAG